TTAGTTGAGGGTGATAAAAATATTTTGGAAACGATAGTGGTAGTGGTTGCAAGGACTGTGAATGTGCAGAATACCACTGAATTAGCACTCTAAAACGGTTAATTTCATGTTATGTGAATTTCACCTCAATGGAAGAATGGAAAAAGAAAAAAAGAGAAATCAACAAAGAAAAGAGAAAAACAAAAAATTAGAAAGAAAATTAAAAAATAAAAAAGAATCAAAAAATGGAAAAAGGAAGTCAAGGAAAGATAGGAAGAAAAGAAAAATAATAAAAGAGAAAAGATTAATAATGTAACGAAAAAATAAAAGAAAGTTGAAAAAGAAAAGAGAAAATTAAGAAAAAGGAAAAAATATGAAAACTAAAAAGTATGACAGAAAAGAAATAGAAAAGAAAATAGAAAAATAAGACAAGAATGAATCAAAAAAAGGAGAACTGTGCTTACATGCTTGCAGATGTATTAAGTTTCAAAGGAACGCATACCCAAAGTCCCATGGACCCCATTAAACATTGCTGCTCTTTGGCGCCCCGACCAGGAACATGTGTGCAGTCCGCCAGCCCCCTTCCCAGGTTCTCGGGGGTCCCCAAACAGGGCGTCTGTCCTCCCACCTCCTGCGCTGGGCCTGGGCACAGCTTCCCGCCGGGGCCCTGGGCACACAGGCCTTTTTGTGCTCTCTTCTCCCAGAACCCCCTGGAAACGCTCTGCCAGGACCCCCTGCAGCCCCCTCTGTCCCACAGAGGGGCTGGTCTGGGAGTCTCAGAGGACACAGCGCTCTCTCTTCCATTTCGCCCCCACCTCCCCGCACAGCCTCCTGCTTCCTGCCCCTGGACTCTCACAAGGTGCTTCCCGGTCCTCCAGGCACTGAGAGTGGTGTCAGCCCAGATCAGGAGCCTTTGGCTCAACTCCCTCTGGGACCTAAATTCAGTCCCCGTGGCCTCACGGCTCTCAGACCCTCCTGGCCTGTCCAGGTCCCAAGGGCAGTTTTCAGGAGCTGTCAGGTCCTCATGGTTTCCCTGGGCCCCCCGTCCTTTGATGGGAAACCTTCCTTGTTCACAATATTAGGTCAAGTGCTCTGTAAATGTAGCTGGGAGATCCTCCTTAGAACCAGAGCTGTCACATTTCTGAGTTTGCCTTGTGTCTTGGGCTTTGGAAACGGTGATTGTCAGACGCCCGATGGCTGAACACAGTGAAGACAAACGCCTTGGCTTGCTCAGGGCGTTCCACAACAGAAGGTGTGGTTTATTCCACGTTCCTAAGAGGATTTCAGGACCACACGCTGCACTGGACACAGTCTCGTTTTCCTGCAGAAAGGAGAAGCCTGAACTCCAGCTGCAGATGTGAACAGCGCCCTCCCCGGGTCTGCGAGATGTGCTTGCCCGCGGCTGCCTTTCCTGCATTTATTAACCTTTCCTAAGCGTCTTGTGAAGTGACGTCCCACCTGCCCAGTAACTTACACTCTGCACAGACCAGGAGGGACTCGAGGGTCTGGGTGGCCACGAGGGGTGGGATCCCTGTGGTGGCACTGCTCACTTGGGAACAGTGCAGGGAGCTGGATGGCTGGGGTCTGGGACATGTCGGCCCCCTTGCCTTCCACACCAGGTGCGTCCTCACACAGTCACTCATTTACCTTCAGAGACTTGCACACACACACACACACAGACGTTTGTGTACCATCTTCACACACTCACACACAGGGCTGACTAATACAACAGGCAGTCCGTCCCCGTGGTCTGGCCAGAGCCCCCAACGGGGCACAGTCCAGCCCAGAAGCCTCCTCTGGGTCTAGCAGGATAATCGAAACCCCAAGAAGACAAGATAGAAAAATCCAGAAACACTTAGGAAGGCAATCCAATTGGGATAATGGATGAAAAAAATACAAGTAGGAATCAAAAAATAATAGGAAACAATTAAGCCAGAGATCAATACTTTCGTTACTATTTCTGTGAAGATTCTGATTAGTTTTCGAATCACTGTCTCATCTATGGGTGGTGTTTGGGTGACTTGCTATGACTTTGAAAAATTTAGGTCTTAGGACATAATGTATAATATTGCTTAGCTTTTTACAAATTTTTTATTAAGTTTGTAACCTGTCTAAAGTTTGGGAAATACATTTTATAAGATTGAAAAGTTTTAATTTTTATACTTGTGCAAATAGTCTGTGACTATTTAGGGCATAATTGACTGTTGAGTATTTTTAAAATGATGATTGTTTAGTAAATTCACCTTACTAATATATTAGCCATTAAGCAAAAAAGTGAGTAGAGAATGACTGTCCACACAGTAACTTCCAGGACACCAAAGAATATGTCAAAAATAGCAAACCAAAGGCTACAGGTAAAAATGTATCTACTTATTTATTTATTTTTATTTTTTGAGGAAGATTAGCCCTGAGCTAACATCTGCCACCAATCTTCCTCCTTTTTGCTGAGGAAGACTGGCCCTGAGCTAACATCCGTCCCCATCTTCCTCTACTTTATATGTGGGACGTCTGCCCCAGCGTTGCTTGACAAACGGTGCACCAGTCAGCGATTGGAGAAACCACCAAACCCCAGCCTCTGAAGCAGAGAACGCGAACTTAACCACTATGCCACTGGGCGGACCCCTAATTTATTTCTTTTTGAACTTAGAGTATTTTAAAAAAATTAAATGAAAACATACGGCTAATAAATCCAATATAGGATTTTTAAACGGGACACCAAAAGCACAAATCACAATGGAAAAAAGAAAAATATGGATCATGCCCCTCTCAGTATGTAGTTAAGAATAGGAACCACTATGCACACATGGGGCAGACCACCACGGTGTTCACTTTAAAGAGCTCGCGATTACATTTGTAAATTACTCCTCAATAAAGCTGAAATTAAAAAGAAAAGCAGAAGTGAAGCCACATCGATTCAACAGAGGGCTCATAAGCGTAAATACGGAACGGCCCTGAGCGCACAAGGAACCCCTGCAATTCCATATAAGACAACAGCCGCATAGAAGAAATGGGCAAAGGATTGGAGCCGGCAGTCGCGGGAGGAGAGAGAGGACGCCGCGAGCCGACGGAAGGATGCCCGTCCCCGTCAGCCGAGGGATACGAACCACAGCACGCGCAGCGCCCGCACACGCGCTGCAACCGCGAAAGTGGAGGAAGATGCTGCGGCCGCGGCATCACCCCTGCGGGCGAGGGTGCGGAGCACCTGGAACCCTCCAACCCGCTGGCGCGAACGCAACGTGGTGCGGCCACTCTGGGGACCCGGTGGCAGTTCCTCAGGGGCTTCAGAATAACGTGCCCCTCGCTCCTAGGGGTTTATCCAGGAGGAAGGAACGCACACGTCTGCACGAGCACCGTGCGCGAGCGTTCGTGGGCCTCACTCGGAATAGCCAGCAGCTGGAAACGACCCGAATCCGAGCCGGGGAGCAGAGGAGGTGCGCGTCGAAGACCCGTCAGCGATGAGGGGACGAGCGATGCTTATGATGTCAGTGTAATGTCCAGTGGAACTCACCAGCAAAGAGCACGTGCGTGTGATTCCATGTATTTGACGTTCTAGAACAGGAAACACTGCAGAGCGCGCCTGGGCGGGGTGGGGAGGAGGGACCAAATGGAACAGACTCGGGGAGGCCGGCGTGGAGGCTGTCCCTCTCCTGGTGGAGGTGTGGTTACCCCATTGTACACAATCTCCAGAGTTCCTCCAACTGTGCTGTGAAACCTGGCAGGTCTTATTACAGGTCAATGTGACCGTAATTAACAAAGAAGAGGCCTTTCCACTGCTTTCCTGGCCACTCCATCCACTGACCACCGTGGTGCTCCCAGCTCCGAACTCCTGGAACCCTAGGTGCTGGGACGCTATTATAACCTTCATCCCGGCTTCGTGTGAGGAACTGGACTCTGTGAAGCAGTCGTAGATTCCTGGGGTCCTCGTTTCCCATGTTCCTCCGTCAAGCCCTTCTATCTCAACTCCACACCCCCTGCGGCGGGCTGAACGAGACCCCAAAAAGATGAGTCCAAGTCCTCACCCCCGCTACCTGTGATGGGCCCTTCTTTGGAAATGGGGTCTTGGCAGCTGCAGTTCAGGTAAGGGTCTGGAGGCGAGACGACCCTGGAGGAGGACGGGCCCTGAATCCAATGGCAGGTGTCCTGATCACAGAAAAGAGACGGACGTATGAGACCCAGAGACTCAGGAGACGGTCGTGTGACAATGGAGGCAGAGACTGGGGTGATGCGGCCACAAGCCCAGGAGTGCCCGGAGCACCAGGAGCTGGGAGAGGCGTAGAGCAGACTCTCCCTCAGGCCTCCAGAAGGACCAACACTGCCGACCCCTTGATTGTGGGCATCTGGTCTCCAGAACTGTGAGAGAACAGGTCCTGGGTCTTAAGCCCCCAGTGCTGGTGCTCTGTTGGGGCAGCCCCAGGCACCACCACAGGCCCCCTGTGCTCTGCTGTGGGGTAGGGGCCCCGACCCAACAAAGTTCACATCGGCTGCTCCCCATTAGGTCTGGCAACGGGAAGCAAGGGGGAGCACGTAGGATGGGACAGTCCCCATCCTGTCCCTCTCAGGGCCACCAGGCTCCCAGCCCCAGACCCCCATTTGCGTTCTCTTAGCACCCAAGAAACCAGCCACACTGGGCCCCTGAGCAACGTCCCAGCTCCTGGGCTCCTCCCAGCTTCCCTCTGCCCCCAGACACAGGGTGGAAGTGGCTCTGACAGCACGAGGCTGCCATCCCTCAGAGTTCCCTCCTTGTCCTCTGAGCCGTTGCATTCCCGGCACTTAAGGTCTAGTCTGTTCTCCCTGTCACACTGCCCCTGTGGTCTCCACCCACCTGGACCCTGACCGACACCAAGGGCAGCCTGGGAGGTCTGGAGTCTGTGGTTTGGCCTCCACCTGGCCCTGGGCCAACCCTCCAGGGTGAGGGAGGGAGAGAGAGGGACCCAAGGTCGACCAGACATCTGGGGGTTGTGAGGAGATGGAGGGGGAGGAGGTGTTGGAGGGGGATGGGGGGATGAGGAAGAGGAGGGGAGGAGGTGGAAGGCTGGGTTTTATTGAGCTACTAGCACGTGCCTGGCTCTGGGGTCAATGTTTTACAAATGCCCCAAGCACGTTTCCCAGAGTCACCCAGTGGTGTATAATAACATGGAGGCTCCGTCAGCTTGGGCTGCGTAAGAAAAATCACAGACTGGGGCTCAATCCACAGCGTTCATTGTCTCCCAGTCTGGAGGCTGGAAGTCAGAGGCCCAGGTGAGGGCAGGGCTGCTCCCTCCTGAGGCCTCTCCTGGGTGTGGAGATGGCTGTCTTCTTCATGTCCTCACATGGTCATCCCTCTGTGTGTGTCCGTGTCCTCCTCTCCTCTTCTTGTAAGGACACCATCGTGTGGGATCAGGGCCTACACCAGTGACCTCACTTTAACTTCACCACCTCCTTAAATGCCCCATCTCCACATACACTCCCTTTCTGAGGTTCTGGGGATTGAGGCTCCAATATATGAATAGGAGGGAACACAATTCAGCCTACAACATATTGTCATCATTTTTCAGAGAAATAAAGCTGAAACAGAATAATTCACAAAGTTGCACGCTTGTGAGGGGCCCCACTCTGATTTAAGAGATTAGATACATCTCCCAAAGATCTGAACTGGACTGGGCTGGGGAGAAGGTGGGCCTCATCGGAGGAAGGTCCCAGTCCGTCTCTTGTCCCTGACCCTGGGGAGGGTCTGAGGCCCCTGGGGCCAATGTCCTCAGTACATGGTCAGGGGGCTGGGGTCGCGTGTCCACAGGCAGAAGAATGGCTGCAGGGAGACGAAGCAAGAGGGTACAGAGAATGTGCAGATGAGGCATCTGTCATCCACGCTGTAGAAGGTGAGCGTGTCGGCGTCACAGTCCAATAGAACGCGCACCCGGTACAGGGGCTGCGGAGGGTGGAGGCGAACCCTCGGAAAGGTGCGGGCCTGGTGCTCCTTCTTGTACAATTCCACAGCCCAGATCCCATGCTGGGGCGACTTGGGGACCCTTGCCTTCTGATCTAAACTCTCCACACACATGCCCAGGATCCAGACCTTCCTGCGCCCGACCTCCACCTCCCAGGAATGCCGCCCAGAGGGGAACGGCTCCCAGTCCAGCACACAGGTGTCTGAGACAAATCTGCCAAGGTCGTTGGGCAGCTTACAGCTGAAGATCAGCTGAATCACACTCTTCCCATCCATAAACAGAAAGAGTTTCGAGCTTGCAGTGTCCGGGTACAAGGGTGTGATAACTGTGGGAAGAGGAGAGGGTCAGCTTTGGGGGTTCTGGCACCCAACCCACACTCTTGCATGGAGGGGACCCCAGGGCCTCTCCTCCACATCTCTGGGGAGGTGGAGGCACAGGAGCCCTGCAAATCCCTGTATCCCTGTTTTCTACCCAGGACCACACGCAGACAGACCACCCCCAAAGCAGCTGAGGTGACTCCAGCTGGAGCCAGGGGCCGGCTCCCAGGGGAGAAAGAGACACAGCCGGTGCAATGTGAGGTCTGCTCAGCGCCCAGTGTTCTGGTTCCTTGTGCATGTGTGGCAGAGAGACACAGAGAGAGAGAAACAGAGAGAAGAGAAAGAGAGACAGAGGGAGAGAGAGACACAGAAAGAGAGATGCAGAGAAAGACAGAGACAGATAGGGAAAGAGAAGGAGAGACAGAGAGAGAGGAAAACAGAGATAAAGGCAGAGAGAGAGTGGGACAGAGAGACGAGAGAGACTGAGAGACACAGAGAGAGATGAAGAGGCAGAGAGATAAACAGACAGAGGGTAAAATAGAGAGACAGTGAGGGAAACAAAGAGAAAGAGAGAGACAGAGACAGAGACAGAGACAGACAGACACAGCTGGCAGGAAGATCTGGGAAGACATGAGATGGTACCACAGGGGCACTGATGCAGGTGCTGTAGGACAGCTGGGGTGTCAACCACTGGGGAGTCCCGTCTGGAAAACCTGAGAGGGATCTCATAGCCCTGAAAGCTGAGACCAACATCTTCCACAGCAGCCTACTTCACTCCTGCCTGTGCTCCCTGCCCGGTGTCCCTCTGGGAGCTCTCAGGCCCCCAGCCTGCGACCTGGGTGGAGGGTCCATCTACACTGGGCTCCCTAATGAGAGGCTGGGAGGGTGTTTGGGGCCAGGCTGGGGCTCCTCTCTTCTGGAAGCTGCCTTTGCAACCATGGGAATGTTCGGGGCCCCAGGACCAGAGCCAGTGCCCGCCCTCATTGACCTGAAGCCCCACATGCTTGAGTCTCCCCCTGGATGTCCCAGACACTCACACTTCCTACACTGGAGAGGACCACACTCTCCTACTGTGAAAACCTCCACGTTCCCCCAAATGTCTCTTTACCTCCTTCCTGGAGTGGCACCCTGCACCCTCTCACCTTCTACCAAAGACTGTTTCTTTGTTTCCCCAAAAATTCTCACTCCATCTTCCTGAATTCTCCCTGCTCTGCCCACCCAGCCCTTCCTGTAGAGTCTGAGCCTGAGGATGGAGGCACCCACGTGGCATCTCCATTACAGTCAAACTCAGACTCCTGTTTCCTTCTCTTCCACATCCTCTCATCCTTTAAAAAAATTATTCACATTAAAAAATAGACTCACAAAAAGAAGCAAAATGGCATAAGAATATGCTTATGACACCATCCTGCATAATGACAGTGAAAGGATGAAAACCAGAAAATCAGCATTGACACACACTGTCAATAACTACATCACAGCCTCCAGACCGTATTCAGATCTCGCCAGCTGCCCCAATCACCAATCACGCCCTTTCCTGGTCAGTCTGTTCTTTTTCAAATTGCTACATGGCACTCTGTTGTTGATCCCACGCACAACACTGGATAGACAACAGGATTGTTGTCAGTTTTAGCAAATCTGAATGGCTGCTAAGGACATCCTTGTCCTGGTCTTTCTGGGGACACACGTTCATTCCTCTGGGGTCTCCGCCAGGAATACAGTCGCAGGGGTCACGGGGTAACTGAGCGTTCTGCCTTCTCATCAGCTGCCACCCTGTTCCCCAAAGTGGTTGCGCCATTTTGTATTCCCATCGGCATCTTGGACAACCCCGACATCCAGGAGGACCTGACTTCCTCTCACCAGCCCTCCTGCGTCCTCCCCCCACCCTCTTCATTCCCCTTCTCTTCTTGCTGGCGCAGATTCTGTGCTTATGAACCCTTATAATCCTTCTCTAGTGACCATTCTCAAGTACGTCCCTCAGGAAACCCAAAAGCTAGAGGAGCCTCTGAGGCTCCAAGATCAGAGCCTGTGCGATCCTGCGCTGGACTCCTGTTCCGCCCTCTCCTGTTCGTCTCCCAGCAGCTGGGACCTGCACCCATCCCTCCCACAGCCGCAGGCTGCCCTCCCTGCAGAGACGTCGTCTTCGCTCCTTCCTCATCCCTGCAGCATGGTCTCTCCTCACACTGCATCATTCCTTTCAGGGAACAAACATGCTTACTGCCTTTTCCTTCAGCTAAAACCAAGCCAGCCACACTCCAGCTGATTCCCACTCTCCAGTTTTCAGCCCAGCCTAACATCAGTAATTTTGGAATTTTCTACACAGAGCTCTCCGCAAGGGGAACCTCACTCATCATCCCAGTGGTGGTTTTTCCGGGTCATTTTCTGTGTTCTGCTTACTCCACTGCTCAGCTGCATGGACACCATCAGCCACCCGTGAACACACACTGTCTCTGATGTCAGGGTGAGGCATCTCCTGGTCCCTCCCCAGCTCTGTCCACGTGTTCTGACTCCTTCATCAGGAGCCATCCTGTTCAGACAGACCTCCAGACAGTGAGGTTCTCCAAGACTAGAGCTTGGCTCTCTCTTCTTTGTCCTGGGTCTTTCCCTTACTTGTTTTTAATTCTTATTCCTTTCTTAAAAGAATTTGTTAAAGAATAATTTTAGGTTCACGGTTAAATTGAGGCCCCAGCAGGGCCTGGTGATGCCATGTGGCCAACTTCATTATTGCACCCAATCATTCCTGTAATATTCACCCTGACCTATTCCAGTCTCAGCTAAAATTTTTCATTGGTTTATGGCGTGCCTCCCCACATAGATTCGATGCCCCATGAGGATGGGAGGAAGCCATTTCACACCCTAATAAATACCTGGTTGCTCGCCCACTAAGCCATCACTCACTGTTTGTGATGAATGAATGAAGGGATGAACGCATGAGTTCTCTCTGTCTCCTCCTTGGTCCTGCAGCAGGTGGCCATGTTTGGACCAGCTCCCCGGCTTCCCTTATTCCTCTCACTTGCCCTGTCTCGTGCCCTGCCAGTTTCTCCTCTCCAGGTCCTGGGCACTCCATCCACAGATTCTGCCCCCCGCACCCCATCCCTCCCGCCTATGAGATGGTGTCCAGGGGCCCAAAGTCACTGGTTTCTCCACTCTCCAGGGTAACAGTGTGCCCCCAGTGCCCTTTCTCAGAAAAGCTGACCATCCTGGCAGCTCCCACAGGCAGGATCCACTGCCAGAGGCTCTCCCAGGGCCTCAGGAAACAAAACAGAAGGAACTAGGGTGTCTTCGGGCCACTGAGACCAGATGTTCCCAGGGATGGAGCTGCCTCTCACCAGCATGTAACTCAGCATTTATACACCCTGGACTCGAACAGACAGACATGCACACCCATGCCCATACACACACACACACTCACACGTGTCCACATACTTATGCTTATGCTCACAGGCACTTAGACATGCACACACTTACATGCGCACATGGATGCGCATGCAAAATGCACACGCTTATGCACACTCATGAGCACACACATGTGGGAACGAGCATCGGAATGCAGACTGAAGCCAGAAAGGGTCTGGACTTGGCCCCTGGAGCCCCTCATCATCCCGCCCTCACCATCCTCTTGAGTAGCTCTGACCTTCCCACACTATCTCCATCAGAAGCCAGTGTGTGAGGGAGAGAAGCCAAGACACGTATGTCACTGAAGGAGGCCCCTCCTGCCCTTTCCTGTTTCCCTGAGACCAGTTCTGATTGCGGGGTCCCTAGGACAGGCCTCCCACCCTGTCACCCCTGCTCTGTGGAATTGGGGCTGCACTTCTGGCTGCCTTTGCCTTTAGGGGGCAGGACTTGGGGTGTCCTGGGCGCAGAGACCCCGACCATCTAGTATGGCCCTCACCACCGAGGAGGCCGACCTCTCTCCAGCCCGCCCTGAAACAGAAGGATGGGAAGCCGTGGGCCTCAGCGTATAAAGTGGGGCCAAAGCACCTGTTCTGGGAAGCTACGTCAGAACAGGACTCACTGAGCTCGTCTCATGGGCTCTCCTAAAACAAGAACAAATGCACCTCCTTTAGTGCTCAGGGAAACAATAATGGGGCGTTTGTCCCCGGGGAGGGCAGTTTGTGGGCCCAGCCCCCTGGCCTGAGGCTTCCCCTCCACCTTAAAGCCATATTGAGGCTCTAACACCAGCCAAGGGACAGTCTGCTCTGCTCCTCCAACTGGGCCTGACCTCAGGGGGCAAGTCCCCAGCTCCTGAAATGGCACAGGAGGCAGGGCTGGACCAGTGGGGAGGGAGACGGTCAGTGCTGCTGACCGTCCTGACGACGGCAATAACAGAGGCTCACGTGCCCAGCTCGCTGCCTCGTGTCACCACCGCCCAGCCTTTCAGGACCAGGCCCAGCCCTGTGTATTCCCAGAGGGAGAGCTGCCAGCCTTCCTGAAACCTCCTGGGGTGGGATCACCGAGGGCCTCTTGGAGAGAGGGGGTTTCCCTGGAGCTGTGGGGACTGGGCCACCCATGGGCTGGGCCTGCACAGGGCGCTCCCTTCCTACTGCATTTGGGGCACACAGGGGAAAGTCAGTCCAGGGCTCAGCATGAGCACCCATGGTCTGGAGGGGCAGGCCTGTGCTGTTGGGGTCCCTGTCCACCAGGCAATGGCAGGTCCCACTCCTCTGCCCCCAAGCTCCCTCTTCTTCCAGCAGCTTCCCGTTCTTACCCCTTGGATGCTTCCGCAAGAGGCAGGTGATTGCGGCTACAAGTACTGCTGCTGCGAGAAACAGAGACAGAACTATCTTCCAGGCTATGGACAGGAACAATCCAGAGGCGGGATCTGCATGGATTCCGGGGGGTGAAGAATACAGTGAGAGAGCTTCTGTGTTCTCAGGGTGGAGACACTGCAGTGTTCAAGGGTCGGGGGCACAAGGTTTACAAACTGCTCTGAAATGGTTCAGAAAACCGTGTGTGTTCTGTTTTTACAGACAGATGCAGGTGGATGCACAGGAGAGAGAGAGTAGACGAGTGGAGAGAGATGGTCAAACAAAGGGCAGGACGTTAACTGTTGGGTGAATCTGGGTAAAGTCTGCACAGAACTCTGTGTATTAGTCCTGCAAATTTTCTGTAAGTTTGAAATCATTTAGAAATGAAAATTTTATACAAGGTTGGGCATGGAAGCCACCGAGGGTTCCTTCAGGGGGCGAATGGATAAGTGAGTAAACTGTGCTGCAGCCCAACAGTGGAAGATTCTTCAGCGCTGTACAGAAATGAGCTGTGAGCCCATGAAAAGACACGGAGGAAGCTGAGGTGCACAGGACTCCATGAAAGAGGCCCGTCTGCAATGGCTCCACACTGCACGATTCCAAGCATGTGGCACTCTGGGAACAGCAACCAGGGAGACCATGCAATACCCTTCCAGTGGTGTCAGGGGCTGGGGGAGCGAGGGATGAATGGTGGAGCACAGAGGACTTTCCGGACAGTGAAACCACTCTGTCTGATACTGCGATGGTGGATCCAGGTCACTGTGCGTTTGGTCAAACCCACAGAAGGCACCACACCCAGCGTGACCCCTGATGTGCACCATGGACTCGGGACAATGACATGTCCACGTCAGTTCATCAACTGTAACAAATGCACTCTCTGGCATAGACGTGGATAAAGGGGGCGGCTGTGCCCACATGAGAAATCTCTGCTCCTTCCCCCAGTTATTTTGTGCACTTGAAACTGCTGCAAAAAATAATGTCTACTAAAAATAACTATTGCAAATGTCTATGTGGAGTGAATGTTTCTGTTTCCCCTGGAAAGTCAGGTGTCCTGGGGGCTCCCTCTGCACCCCAGCTCTGCTCCACCTCAGTAATCAGCACCTGAAGCTGTGCATCTCCCCTGACCCCCGGGGCAGGCTCTGTACAGGGACCTACCTCCTTGTCCACTCTTGCTACAAGCCTTGGGGTTCCCTCCTAATGTCCTGGCATCTGGGGACACGAGCACCCGTGCTCAGAGCTTTTGAGGTCAGAACAGAACAGAATACTCACCAGACAGCTGGTACCTGGACACCTTCTTCTCTGGAAAGGGGGGGCTAGAGACGGAGCAGGCCAGGCCGCTCACAGCCTTGCTGGGGACGGTCAGGCTGGAGGCCACAGCCCAGAGGCCAGTCGTCGGCGAGACCGAGATGTTGGTCTCAGAATGAAGGGTCTGTCCCTGGAAGTCTCTCCACTCCACCTGGGGCTCTGGGTACCAGCCTGCCGAGGTGCACTCCGCCTGGACAACTCCATCCTGGTCAACTTGCACTTGGATTCTGGGCTCAGAGCCCAGCCCTGCGGGAAGAGACGCCCCAACCTCTGCAGCCATAACTGCTTCCATCAGAAAAATTAAAATCCTGAGAATTTCCAATAGGCCATTAGGGAATTTTTACAAACTATTTCCCTTGTGTCATATTTACATCCCAGATATGTTACACTCATTCCCAGGAAAAAACAAAACAAAACAAAACAGAAAAGACTCAGGGAGATTAAATACCTCTCCTGTTTTGCAAAATTAGTAAATGCGGGAATTGAACAGAGGTTTGCTGACTTCATACAATTTCTGGACCACCAAGGAGACATCTCCATCTCCACACTCTCCTGTCTGTCTCTCTGCCTCTGACTGTGTCTGTCTCTCTCTTTGTCTCTGTTTCTTTCTGTCTCAGACTCTCTCTCCCTGTATTGCTTTCCCTCTCACTGTCTCTGTCTGTCTTTCTGTCTCTGTCTGTCTGCCTGTCTGTCTGTGTTGCTCTGTTTATCTCTGTCTGTTATTCTGCCTCTGTCTTTCTCTGCTGCTGACTCTCTGTCTCTGTCTCTGACTCTGACTGTCTCTCTGTCTCTGTCTCTGTCTCTTCTTCCTCCCTTCCTCCCTCCCTTCCCCTTTTCTCCATGGGGCAGAGAAGAGAAGGAAGTTAGAAAACAGAGCCGCGTGTTCAGAGCCACATTTCCCTGGGAAGCCCTGGCTGTGACAGCGCCTGGAGCACGGGATGCCAGGAGCACCTGTCGTGGGAGTGCTCAGGCTTAGGAACATGGGCCACGACCTGGAGCTGGGACGAAACTTCGGGGAAAAGCTCCCGGGGAGACCAGGGACTCTGCCGGCCGCCCTTACCTGCCACCCTCAGCCACAGCGTGGCCTCCGCAGACACGGTGCTGTCATTGAACTGGCAGTGGAACATCCCGTTATCGAAAGTGATGACATTGTGTATCCTCACCGAGGCCCGGCCCTGGGCCACCCCGTCCTTCAGGAAGGTGGTCCTTCCCTGATACAGCGCCATCTGCTCTTCCGGCACGTCCTTCCCTTTCCTGTGCACGTGCACGGCGGGGGAGGGCTGGTCCCTGTACCACCGCAGCTCCATGTCCTCAGCGCTGATCTCGGGGGACAGATAGCACGGCAGGTCCACGTTCCCCCCAACCATGGCCCAAACAGGCTCACTGGGCCCCAAGACCTTAAAATCGGCTTTCCTTCCTACAGGCAGATCCAAAAGGACTGGTTAGACCAGGGGCCAGGAGACCAGCCTCTCCCACCCACGGCTGTGGTCCCCTGGGCTGGAGTCCTTGCATCCCGAGCTGACCCAGGAAGGCGTCGGCCTGGCTCCCCTCTGGGCTTCCCCTCCCTACACTGGGGCATCCTCCTAATGAGGAGAGAAGCTCTCCTACCGTTTCCAGGGATGGTGCCAGACAGCAGATGCAGGAGGAGGAGGGGAACGGAGCCAATGGGCCAAAAGGCATCTCGTCCACAGGTCTTGGCCATGCCTGCTGGGGACAGAGAGAGCCTGGATGCCAGAGACAAGGTGGGGACTGCATTAATTTCTCTTGCTGTGTCTGTCTCTCTCTCTATCTCTCTCTCTGTGTCTTTCTTGCTGTTTCTGTCTCTCTGTCTCTCTTGCTATTTCTATCTCTGTCTCTCTGTATGTCTCTCTGTGTTGATCTCTCTTGGTGTCTCTGCTTCCCTGTCTTTCTTCCTGTTTCTCTGTCTGTCTCTATCTCCATCTCTGTCTCTGTCTCTCTGTTTCTGTCTGTCTCTGTCTCTGTCTCTCTAGCTCCATCTCTGTCTCTGTCTCTCTGTCTCTCTTTCTGTTTCTCCTTGTTTGTCTCTGTCTGTCTGTCTTTGTCGCTGTCTCTATCTCCCTCTCTATCTCCTGCTCTGTCTCTGTCTCTCTCTATTTCTCTGTCTCTCTGTCTATGTCTCTATCAGTCTCTATCTCCGTGTCTCTGTCTGTCTGTCTCCGTCTGTCTTTGTCTATTCTCTCTAAGTCTCACTGTTTGTCTCTCTCTCTCTGTCTGTATCTCTCTCTCTTTCCCAGTTTGTCTCTCTCTCGGTCTCGCTAGCTCCCTCTCTGTCTCTGACTGCCCCTCTATCTCCCTCTCTCTCTCTGTGTCTCTATGTCTCTCTGTCTCTCTCTGTGTCTCTCTGTCTGCCTGTCTCTCTTTCTTGGGGGGAGACACTGCACTGCTAGGAGGCTGACAGAAGTGAAGGAAAAATGACCTTGGAAGAGAAAGGTCATTTTGAACAATCTCAGGCCCTCCCCATCCCTCACAAGTTATTAATCCCAGACAGAGAGACCACAACTGCCAGCTCATCCTGTGTCCACTTGCCCATGGATAATGTTGCTCTTATTGGCATCTATCCTCGGAGTTCAACCAGACCCCTCCAGAGTGAGGGGCTTCACTTCCTCACCTGCTCAGGTAAGACGATTGTCCAAACTCTGGCTACGTTCTGTAGTGAAACACAAGCAGTCTGGGGGGAGATCCCAAATCCAAGCTCAGAAGAATGTCCACAGAGTTACTTAAAGCCCCCTTTTCCTGTTGTCCCCAAGGGGACTTCCGCAGTTGGAGGAGGGGACACAGACCCCAGGGCTCGTTGGCAGTGATGGTCTCAGGCCCACACATCCCATAAGCTTTATTCCTTATTGTGGACTCAGTTTAGACAGCCAAATTCCGAACAGGTCTGCTGGCCTGGCTGCTCCACCCAGCACAGCCTCCAGGATGGCATCCCTGTGAAGTAATCAGGAGCTATGTTGGCAAATGTTCTCATCCTATGTGTGCCTGTCGTCCAGGAAAGACCAGCGTTTCCCTGGCCCTCGAGGATGAGAGGAAAGTGGAGAAAGCAGAGACGTAGATGAGGCCGCAGGAAAGCCCCGCGGTGCCCCTGCCCCTGAGGATGGGAGGAAAGTGGAGAAAGCAGAGACGTAGATGAGCCCCACAAGCAGCAAGTCCTCACCCAGCCCGAGTCCAGCCACAGGCTTCCTGGGAATCCTGGTGGTGGTGAGGAGCAGTTTAGTTCTCTGCCAGCTCCCGGTGGGCCATCGAATTAGTGAAGCTGGCCGTCTGCAGGTGGTGTGAGGGGAACCTGGAAACAGCCCACGCAGCTGAGTCCCCGATCTCTGGAGGATCCTCCTAGGACTTTTCTGGAAAAATAACCAACTGTGCCTCTTTGGGAGCTGCCACACAAAACACCCCAAACCCGAGGGCTCCCTGAGGGGTGTGGTCACCAGGACTGAACTCCTGAGGGCGAGGAGCACGACCCTGGCAGCAGGAGATAAGGGGGGAGACGGAGAGCGAGTGGGGCGGCCGGTGGCAGACGGCGTCGGGGTGGTGCCAGGAGCCCGAGGAGGAGACTCACATCTCGAGGGCTCAGACTCGGGCCAGGGCAGAGGCTGGGCCTTCAGATAAAGTTGCTCCGTTACCCAAAGACCTCCATCCTTGCCAAGGTGGGCCCGCCTCCTTCGGGAAAGTTTCTCATGACCAGGTTTAACTTGACCAAAATCTGGCATTTCACCCCCAGAGACCCCTGGGCGGATTTCAGGCCACCCCCTTCCCCATCCCCTCAGCTGTGGCAGTCTGTCCTCGCTGGGAGCCAGACTCCAATGGGCTCAGAACACCCACCTGAGGAAGATGCTGGGCTGGACCGTGTTCCTGCCTCTTCTTCCTTCTGTTGACTCAAGTCTGGAATTCTCCAGAAGGGTTTGGTGGGAAAGAAGAAGGGCTGCTTGACTTTCTTGGAGGTGGGGTGTCTCCTTCTATTTGGCAGAATGCCAGGCGCTGAAGGTCTGTGTCCCCCCAAAGTCAGAGCTCACACGGGGGCTGGTGTTGCCCCCAGCCCACCCCACCCCCCATTCCTCCTCGGGGAGCCACTGTTGGTGGGCAGTTGTCCCCCTCACACACCAATATGAGGGTCATGGCTGCTACTCGTTCTCCTCCTCCTGTGCGTTGCTCTGATCAGATGACCACACCAGCTAAAGCTCCGCTGGGTGCTCTCTGAGTTGGGAAGGAGGACCGGGCCGTGACAAGACAGCGCACCTCAGATCCGCAAGCTATGAGGAAGCTGGATGCAAGGCTTGCCCAGGACAAGGACAAATGCCGCTATCTGTGTGAATATTCTCATCAGTTTTCTAATCACAGTCTTATCTATTGGTAGCATTTTAGTGGCTTGCTAGGACTTTGAAAGATGTAGATCCTAGGATAAATTATGTATAATTTTAATTAGATTTTTGTAAATGTTTTAAAATTATTTTATTGAGGTCGTAATATTTTATAACTGTGAAATTTCAAGTGTACGTTACCGTTTATTGGTATGTCTATATATGTGCCCCTTTACCCCTTATGCCCACGCCCAACCCCCTTCCTCTCTGGTAACCACTAATCTGTTCTCTTTGTCCATGTGTTTGTTTATCTTCCACGTATGACTGAAATCATGAGGTGTTTGTCTTTCTCTGTCTGACTTACTTCGCTTAACACCATACCCTCAAGGTCCATCCATGTTGTTGCAAGTGGGACGATTTCATTCTTTTTTATAGCTGAAAAGCATTCCATTGTGTATATACACCACATCTTCTTTATCCAGTGATCAATCGATGGGCACTTGGGTTGCTTCCACTTCTTGGCTATTGTGAATGATGCTGCAATGACCATAAGGGTGCATAAGCCTTATGAATTGTTGATTTCAAGTTCTTTGGATAAATACCCAGTAGTGAGATAGCTGGGTTGTATGATATTTCTATTATTAAGTTTTTTGAGAAATGTCCATACTGTTTTCCCTAGCGGTTGCACCAGTTTGCATTCCCACCAGCATTGTATGAGGATTCCCTTTTCTCCAAATCCTCTCCAAGTTTTGTTATTTTTTTGTCTTGGTGATTATAGCCATTCTAACGGGTGTGAGATAATATCTTAATGTAGTTTTGATTTGCATTTCCCTGATGATTAGTGATATTGAACATCTTTTCATGTGTCTGTTGCCCATCTGTATTTCTTCTTTGGAAAGATGTCTGTTCATATCCTCTGCCCATTTTTTGATCAGGTCGTTTATTTTTTTGTTGTTGAGTTGTACAGGTTCTTCATATATTTTGGAGATTAACCCCTTCTCAGATATATGATTTGCAAATATTTTCTCCCAGTTTGTGAGTTGTCTTTTCATTTTGTTCCTGGTTTCCTTTGCCTTAAAGAAGCTCTTTAGTCTGATGTGGTGCCTTTTGTTTATTTTTTCTTTTGTTTACCTTACCTGAGTAGGCATGGTATTTGAAAAGATGCTGCTAAGACTGGATGTCAATGGGTATATTACCTAAATTTTCTTCTAGGAATTTTATGGTTTCATGTCTTACCTTCAAGTTTTTAATCCATTTTGAGCTAATTTTTGTGCATGGTGTAAGATAACGGTGTACTTTCATTCTTTGGCACGTGGCTGTCCAGTTTTCCCAACATCATTTATTGAAGAGACTTTCCTTTCTCCATTGTATCTTCTTGGCTCCTTTGTCAAAGATAAGCTGTCCATAAATGTGTGGTTTTATTTCTGGGCTTTCAGTTCTGTTTCATTGATCTTTGTGCCTGTTTGTGTACCAGTACCATGCTGTTTTGATTACTAAGCTTTGCAGCATATTTTGAAGTCAGGGATTGTGATACCTCCAGGTTTGTTCTTTTTTTTCAAGATCAATTTAGCTATTCAGCGTGTTTGGTTGCCCCATATGAATTTTAGGATTCTTTGATCTATTTCTGTGAAGAATGTCATTGGGATTCTGTTTGGGATTGCATTGAATCTGTAGATTGCTTTCGGTAACATGGACATTCTAACTATGTTTATTCTTCCCATCCATGTGCTTGGAAAATCTTTCCTCTTCTTCATGTCATCATCGATTTCTTTCAATAATGTCTTATAATTTTCATTGTATAAGTCTTTCATCTCCTTGGTTAAGTTTATCCTTAGATATTGTATTGTTTTTGTTGCGACTGTAAGTGGGGAATATTCTTGAGTTCTCTTCCTGTTAGTTCCTTACTAGAGCATAGAAAGGCAACTGAGCTTCGTAAGTTGATTTTGTATCCTGCAACTTTGCTGTAGTTGTTTATTTCTAATAGTTTTCTGAAGGATTCTGTAGGGTTTTCTATACACAGAATTGTGTCATCTGCAAAGAGTGACACTGGGGTTCTCCAAGACTAGAGCTTAGCTCTCTCTTCTTTGTCCTGTATCCTTCCTTTTTGGTTTTTAAATCTTATTTAAAAAAATATATATATTCTTCAAGAACACTTTTAGGTTTACAGATAAGTTGAGAAGATAGTGCAGTGACTTCCCAAATCTTATTCACTTTCATAATTGCAAATGCCAGTGCATGCAGTTGACTCCAAATCGCCGTCTCTGTCCACACTTCCCCTGGGAGCCCCAGGCTTGCATATACAACGATGGATTTGAATCTCTCTTTGGACGTCTGAGAACACGTCCATCTTGGGAGGTTCCGAGATAATGCTCACCTCCTTGGCCTGAATCTGTCTGATTTCTCCCAGGCTTTCCCTTTTCAGTGCATGGAGCCACCGCAGCCCAGCTACTCGCCCAGCTGAGGGTCATCTTGGGCTCCTCTGTTTTCCTGGTCCCCATTGACTCTGCCACTTGGGCCTCAGGACCCCTCTTGTGTCTGTCCCTTGTTTTCCTCCATCAGTGCCTCTCCCCTGCTTAAAACTCATCACACATTTTGCATCGCACTTCACATAAAATCCAGACTCCCAACCACGGCCTTCCAGGCTCTGCACGATGGGGTGCCCACTCGCCCCAGCCCGTTGGCATCTCTTCCACACCCCTAGCTCTTGCACCGCAGCCCCCAAGCTCTGTGCTGCTGAGGAGGGGTCTCCTCCTTCTCCCTCTGATGCCTTCTCCCCATCACCCCACCCTCCCTTTAGATGGTACCATCCACAGCAGAGCCTGGCGATGCCATGTGGCCTTCTTCATTATTGCACCCATTCATTCCTGTAATATTTACCCTGATGTATTCCAGTGTCAGTTAAAAATTTTAATTGGCTTATGTGTTCCTCCCCACATAGATTCGATACCCCATGAAGACGGTAGGAGCTATTTCACTCAGTAGTAAATACCCGGTTTCTGGTCCATGAGGCCATCGGTCACTGTTTTAAATGAATGAAGGGATAAATGCATGAGTTCCCTCTGTCTCCTTCTTGGTCCTGCAGCAGGTGGCCATGTTTGGACCAGCTCCTGGGCTTCCCTTAGTCCTCTCACTTACTCCGTCACGTGCCCTGCCAGTTTCTCCTCTCCAGGTCCTGGGCGCTCCATCCACAGATTCTGCCCCCCGCACCCCACGCCTCCCACCTATGAGATCGTATCCAGAGGCCCAAAGTCACTAGTTTCTCCACTCTCCAGGGTAACAGTGTCCCCCCAGTGCCTTGTCTCAGAAAAGCTGACTCTCCTGGCGCCTCCCACAGGCAGGACTCACTGCCGGAGGCTCTCCCAGGGCCTCAGGAAACAAAACAGAAGGAGCTAAGGTGTCTTGGGGCAGCTGAGACCAGACATTCACAAGGATGGAGCTGCCACTCACCAGCATGTAACTCGGCATTTCTGCACCCTGGACTAAAACACACAGACATGCACACACATGCACACGTATGAACTCACACATGTGTACACACAAATGCTTATGCACACATGCACCCAGACATGCACACAAATACATGCATGCACACTTATGCACATGCTTGCATGAAGACATGCACACTCTTATTCACATACATGCTTATGCACACCTGCATCCAGACATGCGCACAGCTACGTTCATACACACTTATGTACACACACATGGGTGGAGACATGAACACACTCTTATGCACACACCTGCTTGTGTGCATGTGCATCCTGACATGCATGCACACATGCATTCAGACATGCACACACTTATACACATAACCAACACATCATACACATGCATGCACACATGGATGCACATGAAAATGCACACTTGTGAGCACACACACACTTGGGAACAAGCATCGGAATGCAGACTGAAGACAGAAAGGGTCTGGACTTCCCCTGGGGCCTTTTGTGACCTTGCCCTCACCATCCTCTTGAGTAGCTCTGACCTTCCCACACTATCTCCATCAGAAGCCAGTGTGTGAGGGAGAGAAGCCGAGACGCGTATGTCACTGAAGGAGGCCCCTCCTGCCCTTTCCTGTTTCCCTGAGACCAGCTCTGATTGCGGGGTCCCCAGGACAGCCCCTACCCTTTCACCCCTGCTGCATCGAGTTAGGGCTTCTGCTGCCTTTGC